TGAGACGGCAGGATGTGAGCTGATGAGTTTTATGGACGCATTCAGTGGGTACCATCAGATCAAGATGGCAGTGGCGGATGAAGAAAAGACCGCTTTCATCACCCCCAATGGGGTATACTGTTACAAGGTGATGCCTTTTGGTTTGAAGAATGCTGGGGCGACCTATGCACGGATGGTGAACAAGCTGTTCGCGCCGGTACTAGGGGGTGCATGGAAGCGTATGTGGACGACATGATTGTCAAGTCCAAACGAACGGAGTCTCATGCTAGCGACTTGGAGAGAGTATTCAAGATCATGAAGAAGTTCCAGCTTTGCCTTAACCCCAAGAAATGCACATTTGGGGTGCAGGGGGGTAAATTCCTAGGACATATGGTCAGCCGGAGAGGGATCGAGCCTAACCCGGAAAAGGTAAAGGCGATTTTGGAGATGGAGCCTCCGCGAAATGTAAAGGAAGTCCAGCAGCTCACCGGCAGGATTGCTGCTCTCAGTCGTTTCTTATCAAAGATAGCTGATCGAGCGGCTCTTTTCTTTCAGACCATTAAGAAGAGTAGAGGGTTCGTTTGGACCGAGGAATGTCAACGATCTTTTGAGGGGTTAAAAGCATATCTCCTCTCCCCACTAGTGCTTTCGAAGCCAGAGCCCGAAGAGACCTTATTCATATACTTAGGAATCTCTCCTTGAGCTGTGAGCTCGGTGCTTGTGAGGGAGGAGGAGGGCGCATAGCGACCTGTGTACTATGTGGCCCGAGTACTGCGAGGGGCGGAGTTGAGATATACCAATATGGAGAAGACCATCTTTGCGGTGGTATGTACGGTGAAAAAGCTCACCCCATATTTTCAAGCTCATCCAGTCCATGTGTTATCACAAATTCCCATCGGAACACTTCTTCGAAGCCCAAATGCCCCATCACGGGTCAGCAAGTGGGGGGTGTTCCTGGGATCCTTCCAAATAGAGTTCAAGCCGCGACCGGCGATAAAGGGGCAGGCACTAGCAGATTTCGTGGTAGAATGCACTGCGAGAGAGGTAGAATCTAGTGGAGAAGAACCCGAAGGGAATTGGTGGACCGTGTACACCGATGGGTTGTCCGCGACTGATGCTTCGGGGGGAGGTGTCGTGGCGATATCACCGGAAGGGTTCAAGGCATACTACTCCGTGAGATTCCGGTTTAAAGTCTCGAACAATGAGGCTGAATATGAGGCACTGCTTTGCGGCTTGAGGTTGGCAGCCTCATTAAAAGCTGAGCGAATCCAAGTCCGGTGCGATTCCAAGCTAGTGGTAGGCCACGTCACTGGAGAATTTGAGGCCAAGGATGAACGAATGAAGAAGTATAGAGACACTGCCCTGGAGTTGCTTAATGCATTTGAGGCGTACCGGATAGAGCAGGTTCCTCGGGAAGAGAACGCTGAGGCAGATATCTTGTCAAAGCTTGGTCCGG